CATGCTGTTGTATCTCATTTGTATTTTGGGCAACCAATTGGTTCCCACCAGCTGTATATTACCTGTATTTTTTTTTTTTTTTTTTTTTTTTGGAGAGATTTTTCACTGTGGGGCGCATGCGCTCGCCAGACAGACAAAGAGAGACATAGAGACAGCGAGAAATCACCCCCCAGGGGGGATGGTCACGCCGCAATCCCTTCTCCATTCTCCTCTTGGGATCTTGGGCACGCACGCACACGCGCCCGGCGTGAGTTTTAAGCCACCGGGTCCAGGACACGAACCGCGGTCGACTACGTGGGAGTCCAGCGACATAGCCATTACGCTAACTGCTGGTTCCCTCACCGTTTCTCTTCAATAAACGGTAGTAGACGGAAGACGACGACTTGATCAGCACCTGGTAGTGTGTGTGTGTGTGTTTGTCCCATCTCTCACTCCCTTCCCCAAGGAACCTGTTCTACAGTCCCGCAGGCAGAGACATTGGAACCTGTTCTACAGTCCTGCAGGCTGAGACACTCACGGGGCATGGCCACGCACCAATCCCTTCTCCTTTCTCCTCTCAGGATAATTGGGCACGCTCATGCTGCCTGCGTGAGTTTAAGCCACCGAGTCCGGGACTCGAATAGCGGTCGACTACGTGGGAGTACAGCAACATAGCCATTACGCTAACTGCTGGTCTCGACAATACGCTTTTTTAAAAATAATTATTTATTGGGGGAACCAGCAATTTGCGTAATGGCTGGACTCCCACGTAGTCGACTGCGGTTCATGTCCTGGACCCAGTGGCTTAAAACTCACGCCGGGCGCGTGTGCATGCATGCCTAAGATCCCAAGAGGAGAATGGAGAAGGAACTGCGGCGTGACCATCCCCCCTGGGGGGTGATTTCTCGCTTTCTGTCTCTATGTCTCTCTGTCTGTCTGGCAAGCGCACGCGCCCTATAGCGAAAATCTCTCAAAAAAAAATTATTTATTCATTTAATTCCTTTTTTTTTTCTTTGACCAGACAGACAGAGGGAAAGCAAGAAAGCAAGTGCCAGCTCCGGGACTCAAACCATGGTCGGCTATGTGGGAATCCAGTGCCTTCAATCATCACACCACCTGCCTGCCCCAACGATGCGTTTTTAACATTGGTAAAGTTCTGCCCTGATGGCAGAGTTTGACATTAAATCCTGCCACTATGGCACAATGTCCCCAGAACCTGCCTCCTTGTCTCCATTCCCTAGCAGGTTTTTAGCCCTTATCTCTGTATTTTTAGCCTCTGTTTTGTTTTACTGAGTTTCTGACAAATAGCACTTTCCTGGCTTCCTTCATAAGTGTCTGTCTGCATGGAAAATCCAGGTCTTGGGTGATTTATTTTACACTGCCATTTCCTATCTCCTTTTGGTTATTTTTGCTGTCTCCACCAGGCTGTAGTTCTTCCCACCTTCCTGTCCACCCCAGTATTAATCTGAAGGTTCCACCGATCTTTGCCATTCCTCAGCTAGTGGTGTCGTAGTGTCCATTTCCTCTTCTCCTCCTCAGCATTTGCCTGCCAAGATTGTCTCATGCCCTGTCCAGCTCCTGAAAGAGTTGGGCTGGAAGGAAGGCCAAAGCAGCCGTCTGAGGCAAATGCTTCCTCATACTGTTCAGGACACACCGATAGGAGAGTTGAGACAGGTCAACACACAAAGGACGGGTGCCTGTGGTGGCAGAACCTCAAGACCTGCATCCTGTGTCCCCACGTGGGGTTACAAGGACCAGAGCCCTTGTTCTCTGACGAGTTCAGGCAGACATGTTGCCAGCAGCAGTGGCTTCCCCATCACCTGCAGAACAGCCTCCACCTTTGCATTTCTGGGGCAGAGGACACAAGGGGCCACTCGGGATGAAATGAGGTGACAGATCCATGACTGTGACCCAGACTTCAACCTCTCTGTCCTCATGGAAATTCCCTTGTCTGGCTGTTCTGACTACACTCAAGATGTATGGGCCTGGGAACCAGCAGTTAGCATAATGGCTATGTCGCTGGACTCCCATGTAGTCGCATCCCGGACCCCGGTGGCTTAAAACTCACGCCGGGCACATGTGCGTGCGTGCCCAAGATCCAGAGGGGAGAATGGAGGAGAAGGGATTGCAGTGTGGCCATCCCCCCATGGGGTGATTTCTTGCTTTCTGTCTGTCTGTCTGGCGAGCGCACGCGCCCTATAGTAAAAACCTCTCAAAAAAAAAACAACAACAACAACATATGGGCCTTGTCTAAGATCTGGGATACAAGCTCTGTACTTGGACTTCTCATGTTGGGGTCTCGTCCACCCCATTTACTTGTAGGTGGCTCAAAGAGAACAGCTACAGCCAGCCCATGCACAGATAAGATCCTGGGCAGACTTCCTCTGTGCCTCAGTTTCTCAATGCTGGAAACACACCCCTCTCCTTGGTATCAGGAGGATCAACTGGCCCACCATGCCTTTGCAACCCAGTGGCCCCTCTCAGCATGGGGAGAAACAGCCCTCAGTGGTCTCCCTTATGGGCTCAAAGAGGACTGGGGAACCTCTGACAAGCCCACAACCTACAACAAGGATGTAAATGCTGTTGCTTTTGCCAGTGACATGAAGGAAATAAGTACAACTCGGCTGACTTTGGGGACATAAAGGTAATAGCCAGAGACCTATGATTCACCTCAGGCCACAGGATATACTCACGAGGCTGGGGCCAGAAGCTGGACAATATCCCCACTCCATCACATCTTGACAAAGACCAGAGCTAAGGTTGGCAGGCTGGGCATGGGCACAGAAATCAGGGTTACCTGCCATATGTCCAGACTCATTCAGGGTATGAACCTTCAAGAGTGTTCTAAGTGGCTAACTGGGTCTAAATCAAAAAGGGAGTCTGGGGACCAGCAGTTAGCATAATGGCTATGTCGCTGGACTCCCACGTAGTCGACTGCGGTTCAAATCCCGGACCCAGTGGCTTAAACTCATGCTGGGCGCATGTGCATGCGTGCCCAAGATCCCGAGAGGAGAATGGAGGAAAAGTGATTGCGGTGTGGCCATCCCCTCTGGGAGGTGATTTTTCTCGCTTTCTGTCTCTCTGTCTCTCTCTGTCTGGCGAGCGCACGCACCCTATAGCAAAAACCTCTCCAAAAAAAAAAAAAAATAAGGGAGTCTGAGTCTGGCAGCCATTTGCTGACTGGAATCACTCGAGTATTTGGTCTCCTAGTAAAACCACATACTGAGCTTTTAGACATTTTGTTCCTGAAGCAATACTGACTTGCGTCAACTAATCAAGGCTGAACGAGTTTAAATCCTGCACTTGGAGAACCAGAGTGGGAATGTGGGCTGAAAAGTTTCTTCTATAAACCCAACCCCCTCCTTTGTTCCTCTAAGCTACTCTTGGTTTATTCAGAGGGCTGTGTCTTCCTAATTTGCAAACTATTAACGAAATAAAATCTTCACTCTGGATCAGCAGGTGGCATAGTGGTTAAAGCGCTGGACACTCCCACATGGCTGATCATGGTTTGAGTCCTGGACCTGGTGACTTGCTTTCTCACTTTCCTTCTGTGTGTGTGTGTGTGTCTCTCTCTCTAGTCAAATTTAAATAAATGAGTGAATAAATAGCATTAAATAAATAATTATTTTTTAAAATAAAATCTTTACTCTCAATTTTCAGGGAATTTTGTTGATCCTGCATAATTTATTACAGGCTCCAGTGGGAGCTGATTGAGAAGGTGGTAATGACTAAACTACACTGTTCAGTAGTCCTTCCTTACCCACAGGAATTTTTTTTTTTTTGGAGAGATTTTTCACTATAGGGCATGTGCACTCGCCCGACAGACAGACAGAGAGACAGAAAGCGAGAAA